TTTTTGCTTTTTTCTCCTCTGCTGTTGTTTCTGAAGGAGTTGCTGTAGTTCCATCCCATCCGCATGTGAATGTCAGAAGCTTTGCCATCCAGCTCAGCATTTCCCAGTATGACCATTACCTGAGCCGCCTCAGCTGACCTCCAGACTTTAAAATAACTCGAGTTCAGCTGGTCAGAATAACTCTGCTAGATGCTAAAGTCTGGAATTTTTGAATGAAATGAAAATATCTTGGTTTTATTTTGTTTGTTTTTTTGTGGGCTTTGTTATCCTATGTTATCCTGGCACTCTTATATTTTATACTCTCTTTTCTATAAAATCCCTATCCAAAACCATATAGTGCAATGTACTGTAGTATTCAGATGCTAGATTATTTTATTTTATTCTATTTAATTTTATATTTGGATTGTATTATTTTTTTTGAATTGGTTATTTATTTTATAAATAAAAAGGAGAGTTGTGTGACTTTTAGTTTATGTCCGTTACCTTTGAAGCCACCTGTATTTTTATTTTTATTGTAATATATATTTGGATTGGTTATTTTAAAAATCAAAAAATGAGCGTTGAGTAGCTCTTACTTCATGCCTGTTTAGCTTTGTATTTTTTATTTTTATTTTAGCCTTTATTCTGGCACTCTATTTTCACAGTAGAGGCACGTAAGATTGAAGCAAAACTTTAAATTTATTTATAAAATTCTTATCCAAAACCATATAATGTACAATTTTCAGATGCTAGATTTTTTTTAATTTTTTTATTAATTTATTAATTTATTTTGATCCTTTATCTAGATTTATTTTGATCGGATGGTGATTTGATTCTATCCAACTTCCAAATTCAGCATTTCTCTGCCTGAATAGTTTGTGTAGAATAATTGTTTGTGAATATTTTATTTCATTTGTTTATTCACATCAATTAAGTATGTACACGTCGACCAGTCTAGAATAATGCCGCTAGACACCACATAAATGAAACAAACCTCTGCTGGCATGAGAGAGAGAAACAAACAAAAAGCATTTCAAGGCTTAAACATTAAAGACTGTAGCTTTATCATAATCCTCAAGCTATTTTTCTGTCTAACCTGGTTGACATGAAAAGCAGTGTTAGGCTGATATGAGGAAAATATCAGAAGCAGATAAGCTGGGATTTTATGACTGTGACTGAAGTTTTAATAATGCAGATACCCATATTGCATTGTATTTTTTTCCTAACTGTGAAGCCCAAGGGTTATTATGATACACAGTCCTGGAGGCCACAGCCGGTGTGTTGACTCCTTGTCGAGCTTTGACTTTTACAGGGCTGGAAATCTTCTGCCTTTGGCTCTATCATGAATCTGATTTAAAAACTAGAGGGCAAAGTACTGATAATCATTGCCACTTATTATTTATTTTTCTTTTGTCTTCATTGCTTTTGAAGTAGGCTTACATAAAAGTTTGCAATGTTACCATCTTGGAGATCTCCTTTACTCTCTTTTAATGCAGCTTTTGACGATGATCTGGCCTCGATCACGCTGTTGTCAGCGTTTTGTGGCAGATGCAATCTGGACACATCAATATGTCCTCCAGCAGTACAAGTTTTCTATTTTCCCCTATCAATCAGTCCAAGCAGCCAGGCAGTCTCCAGTTCCTTTGTAGTGCTGTTTAATCATAAGCCCAGTATTCTGGTTGAACACACACAAATACACGGAGCCTTTGTGGACTAAATTACGCATCATTAGGGCCTGATGCACTGCTTGGGTCTCTTTAGAGCGAGTCACGGCTATTGTGTACTGTGATTTGGCCGAAATGTCAAACTAGATCTTGTGTGGCCTCAAAGGAAAAAGCAAAATAACAAGCAAAAATAAATAACCTTTTGTGTAAATTGCTACATGCACCTTTCTGCCATCCGGTTGCTAAATCTTAATGAATTGCGGCTCATCAATTCTGCTTCATTTGCTGCTCATCTGTATTCACAGTCAGTTGTCACGTACATGTATGTCAGTTTGGACTGCTGTGGTTGCTGTCGCTGAAGTTTGATGCCTTACATATGCTAATATGCAACAGACTGAATCTGTTGTGCAGCTAAAGCATTATACCCAAAATGTACCCAAAAACCTTACGATTAAGAGTTGATATTTATCAAAGCAGAAATGACACGTATTGCGTGTCTTTGTGTACTTGTAACATTACATACACAAGCACTGTATGTTATGTTAGTCACTTTGTTTGTTGCTTTGTTAGTTCCTTTGCTCTGTTTCGTTACGTTACGTTAATGACGTACATAACATATAACAAAATGACTAACCTAACATAACCGTTATACAATACAATAAAATATAATTAAAAAGTACAGTAACATAACAAAGATGTTGTGTTGGTCATTATATGTTAGGTTAGGTCAAGTTGTTAGGTTAAGTTAGTCACTTTGTTTTATGTTATGTTAGCCATTCTATTTAGAGATGCACCGATCGATCGGCCAGGGATCGGAATCGGCCGATTTTCCTCATGGATCGGATCGGTCAGTCTCACTTCTTTCCGATTCCAAGCCGATCCGTTTCGTTATCAGCGGCACAGGCAATAACGTCAGCCGCGCATTCTCGCTCTCTTCTCTCCGACGACCCCTTCTCTCTCACACACACGTCTCATTCGCTCCGGTTAAATAGTGCTTGTATTGCGCATTATTTTAGTCATTCCCACAGGTTTCGAACTTACACCAAAAGCGCGCACCACCACTGATCTATATTAGTGGAGCGCACAAGCCACGCTCAGTCTCAAACAGCTTGTGAGCCACAAATACCAAAATGAGTGGCTAACTGCGCTAAAACGTTCAAATACATACAAAATTATGTCACAATACCCGTCTTAGCTAGTATCCAGTTAAACACAGTCAGTTTTGGAACTTTAAATATTTGAGAAAGAGAACGCATGTTGTGTAACATTATATTGGGTCCGTGGATAAACTCTTAAAGGGACCGCAGTCCAATATACCTGCTGCTGTCTGTCATGTTAATCAAAGAACAAAAGACAAAGAAAATCCCTTTCTGCTCTTGACTGAATACGTTTTATAACTTTATTGGTAAGCATAAATCTGTATTTAATATTTACAATGAAGACTACAGAAATTAAAGTAATCAAATGTACAATAACACTGGATGTTATTTTACATTTGATTACTTTAATTTCTGTAGTATTTCTTACCTGAATAAAATCTTACTTAACCTGAAAAACTTAGTTTCATAGCTCTCTTTATTCTATTGCATTTATTTGTGCTGTTGTTTGCAATTTTTTTATTTGTTCTTATTTTATTACTGACTTTTTACTTGTTTTTTAATGAAAATATGTATATAAGCATATTGTATATGTTGTCAATTATAGTTCTTAGAAAGAAAATCGGAATCGGCAAAAATCGGTATCGGCAGATCACACTAACAAAAAAAATCGGAACCGGCCAAGAAAATTGCAATCGGTGCATCTCTAATTCTGTTAGGTTAGGTTGTTAGGTTAGTCACTTTGTTTTATGGTATGTTAGTCATTTTAAATTAGGTTAGGTAGTTAGGTTAGTATTTTGTTATATTAGGCTAGTTTGTTTTATTTTATGTTTGGTTAGCAGCTGTTTTATGTTGTTTATCTGTTATATTAGGTTACGTTTGGTTAGTCACTTTGTTTTATGTCATGTTATTTTATTATGTTATGTTAGTCACTGTGTCATATTAGAATATGTTAGGTTAGACAATTTTTGTTATTTTATGTTAGGTTATGTTATGTTAGTCACTTTGTTTTTTATGTTATAATGTTAGGTTAGTCACTGATTTATTTTTATTTTTAATTTTTTGACTAACCTTACATAACAAGAAGTGGCTAACCAGTGACTAACCTAATATAGAACGTCTAACAATAACAAACTTGCGATTTTAATCTTCAAATTATTTTCCTTTTTGATTGAAAGAAAACTGCAAATATTGCGAATGTTGTTTTGTGTTGTTCCCTTTTAATCTAAAATTTTAGGTTAGGTTATGTTGTTCACTTCATGTTAGTTTAGCCACTTTGTTTGATGTTATGTTAGTCACTTTTAATCTAAAATATTAAGCGAGTTTTATGTTAGTATAAGTTAGTTTATCCATTTCTAATTAAAAACAGTCAATACTGTGAGTGATAAACAGACCCATCAAAGTAGAACATATGTTCTGATACAAGTGCCATCCACAAAAATTGCACAAATAGCTTTTTCTTTAATGCAAAAAAAAGAAAAGAATTACAAGATTAATCATGATTATTTGTTTTAATCTCTTTTTTTCCCCTTCAGTTTAATAGGTTTACAAAACAAAGTCAAGATCTGCGTAGCACCTGAAGTACACATGTCCAGTCTTAGACTGCTGTTACAGCAGAAGGTACAGACCGTAAAAGCCCAACTGTTGAACTCGAGGCCTGTTAGGCCAGGCTAGTGCTATGAATCCAGCAGAGGAACGTGTGGAATGAAACCTTTTCAAGTTTACAGCAATAGACCTTTAGTCTCTTCACGCTGAAGTTTTTACTACATTTTTTTGAAAATGGAAAAGCTTTTTTCTCAGCCTATTTTTCGCTTATGCTCCACTCTGTTGCTTCTCTCTCTATCCATATGTTGGCAATCTCCAAGGTCCTTCTTTTTCTCTCTTCCACTCGCTTGTTCCCTCTCTCCCACACCTCACTCGATCACTCTGATTACATCCAAAGGGAGCACCAAGTGTTTCGCAATCAACCTCTCCGATAAAAAAACTAAAACAAAAAAAACCTGTTGTATTTAGAATAGGAGGGGTGTTGTGGGAATCCATTATTGTGAGTGGAGTGTGACTACTCATTCACTGAAAGCCCAATAGGAAACACCAGCAGCCGGTGGAGGAAAATTAGCCCAATCCTTTCGGGCTCTGATATATGGCTCACATCTGGGCTGACGTCCATTGTTTTCAATTACAACTTTAAGCATGGCCTCCTGCGTGCCAAAAAATGCTCCCCCTCTGTTTTTTTTTCTCCATAACACCCCTTTCGTGCTGCAGCGGTGCAAGGTGACGCCTGTCTCACCCAGGATGAGTCGTCCTGTGATGCCATGGAGCTCCATCCTGACAAGCAACCACTCCAGGCCAACGGACACGTCCTCTCCACGGAGGAGGAGAATTCCTCTGAGCCAACGGCCACTCGGGACCCTCAGGGCGAGAAGGAGCCCATCAAGGCCCACTTGGAGGAGGCTTCCAGCAGTAAGGAGGTCGAGACGGTCCCCGCTCCTCAAGAGTGTGTGAATGGAAATGAATCTATGGACAGTGTGTACAGTGAGGCTCTTGATAAAGAAACAGACGTAGACTCTATTAAAAAAGATGCACTTGAGGTGGAGCATATGGAGCCTTCTGCCCCAGAATGCAATGCAAAGGAGAATGCAACATCAGCGGAGGGGATGGCATCTGATGGCAACCATGAAACAGAAGGTATGGTGTGTTAAGATTTCACAAATACCGAAGTATTAACTAAACATATATTTTCAAGCATTTAAAATGTTAATGCACTCAATTTAGAGATGCAGAACACGGCAATAAGCATAATCATATATAATTCTCTCACGTATTTAAATGTAATTAAATAAATAACTGCCCGAAATAACATTTTAGACTTACCAGATGTGCATAAACATGCAGGACAGATGAATAATTCCTAGTATTGATAGTCAACTGTACGGTTAATCACAGTTTGGAGAAAAATGCTGTTTTTGGACTTCAAAACACCATCTGTTTGTGAGCGTTTCTCCTGCCGAGAGTTAAATGCACCAACAGAAACACCCTGCGGACTCGTCTCTTTGTGTTCGTCTGCAGACGTGCTTGTCCTTCACCAGGTGTTGTCCGTTTCTAGTGTGATGCGTGCGCAGGTTTGTTTTTTCCATAGTGTGACTTTGCTTAATTTTAAAAGGTTCATCAAAAGGGAAGCACAAGTCAAACGAGTCGGCCGTCGGACTCGAAGAGACTGTGGAACTTCTGCCACCTCCAGCTCTCGTGGTTGACCACCAGCGGCTCAAGGTGAGATGAATATTATTATTCTTAAGAACTAAAATGTGTTTTAATACTTTTTTCATGAAATTATAATCCAATGAAAATTATAATATATTTCCACCTCTGAAACCAGTATCATAACCCACATCAAAAGTTGATGCGTTGGAAATGCGTTTTTCTGCTGTTTGTGATTATCTTTAGTAATTGTTCAGAAGTAGCATACATCCATAAGCACATCCCATAAGCTCTCTGCGCACATTAGTGTACTGTAGCTGTGCTGTAATATACCAATCTCAGAAGGAGGGAAATCACTCCAATCATCAAGTCGTTTTGGAAGGAAACTCATCAGTGTGGAGGCTGCTTCATCATCATCATCATTAGGCTGTTTAGGCCATTTTTGGAGGTATTCATTCACTCTCATTCGCTGAGTCATTCATTTCCATTTAATTATTTGCTATCGAGTTCATCAAATTAGGGAGGCAATCATCGATTTTGTTTCTCCTCTTACGAGCACATTTGAGCTTTAGTTCCACTCTAGATAGCACCAGTGCTTCTTTTAACAAGGTCATCTTCTTCAAAAGGGTGTTTATAGAAGGGAAAACTAGTTTACATACTGCACTTCTACACTGTATACAGCCTATTTATTTGTTTATTTATAATAGCTATTATTTATGCAACCTTTCCACCACTTAATAAAAAAGGTAATTTAAACTTTTTATCTCACTATTCAGATTTTCTTTCTCAGAATCGTGTGATATCAACTTGCAATTGCGAGACAAAAAGTCAAAATTGTGAGTTTATATCTTGCAATTCATAGAAAAAAGTCAGATTTGCAGCATTCTGAGTTTATTTCTCACAATTCTGAGTTTATATCTTTGAGTTTATATCTATATTAAAAGTCAGAATTGAGGGGAAAAAAGTCATAGTTGTGAGAAGTTACAATTATCTTTTTTTTTTTTATCCCGTTTTTTAATACAATTTTTTTTATCTATTATTATTATTAGTTCCCTTTCAGTCGGTCACTCTCGACGTCACGTCGGAGGACCGACGAAATTGGGATCTCGCTTAGAGGGACCAATCTACTTCGAGTGTAAACTAAACGAGCCAATGCACATTGGCATGCGATTATTGCATCCAGCTGCTGCTGATCACAGCGTGAGTATAAGTAGGCAGCAGGTGCAGCGCATATTCAGCTTTTCGCTGAGGAGCCGAGCCGGTGACCCGGCCGCTCAGCGGTGGTACAGGAGCTGTGGCGACGGGACGTGACGTCTCCGTTCCCTCCTTCAGGGAACGAGGGTTACATACGTAACAGAGACGTTCCCTTTCAGTCGGTCACTCTCGACGTCACGTCGGAGGACCGACGAAATTGGGATCTCGCTTAGAGGGACCAATCTACTTCGAGTGTAAACTAAACGAGCCAATGCACATTGGCATGCGATTATTGCATCCAGCTGCTGCTGATCACAGCGTGAGTATAAGTAGGCAGCAGGTGCAGCGCATATTCAGCTTTTCGCTGAGGAGCCGAGCCGGTGACCCGGCCGCTCAGCGGTGGTACAGGAGCTGTGGCGACGGGACGTGACGTCTCCGTTCCCTCCTTCAGGGAACGAGGGTTACATACGTAACAGAGACGTTCCCTTTCAGTCGGTCACTCTCGACGTCACGTCGGAGGACCGACGAAATTGGGATCTCGCTTAGAGGGACCAATCTACTTCGAGTGTAAACTAAACGAGCCAATGCACATTGGCATGCGATTATTGCATCCAGCTGCTGCTGATCACAGCGTGAGTATAAGTAGGCAGCAGGTGCAGCGCATATTCAGCTTTTCGCTGAGGAGCCGAGCCGGTGACCCGGCCGCTCAGCGGTGGTACAGGAGCTGTGGCGACGGGACGTGACGTCTCCGTTCCCTCCTTCAGGGAACGAGGGTTACATACGTAACAGAGACGTTCCCTTTCAGTCGGTCACTCTCGACGTCACGTCGGAGGACCGACGAAATTGGGATCTCGCTTAGAGGGACCAATCTACTTCGAGTGTAAACTAAACGAGCCAATGCACATTGGCATGCGATTATTGCATCCAGCTGCTGCTGATCACAGCGTGAGTATAAGTAGGCAGCAGGTGCAGCGCATATTCAGCTTTTCGCTGAGGAGCCGAGCCGGTGACCCGGCCGCTCAGCGGTGGTACAGGAGCTGTGGCGACGGGACGTGACGTCTCCGTTCCCTCCTTCAGGGAACGAGGGTTACATACGTAACAGAGACGTTCCCTTTCAGTCGGTCACTCTCGACGTCACGTCGGAGGACCGACGAAATTGGGATCTCGCTTAGAGGGACCAATCTACTTCGAGTGTAAACTAAACGAGCCAATGCACATTGGCATGCGATTATTGCATCCAGCTGCTGCTGATCACAGCGTGAGTATAAGTAGGCAGCAGGTGCAGCGCATATTCAGCTTTTCGCTGAGGAGCCGAGCCGGTGACCCGGCCGCTCAGCGGTGGTACAGGAGCTGTGGCGACGGGACGTGACGTCTCCGTTCCCTCCTTCAGGGAACGAGGGTTACATACGTAACAGAGACGTTCCCTTTCAGTCGGTCACTCTCGACGTCACGTCGGAGGACCGACGAAATTGGGATCTCGCTTAGAGGGACCAATCTACTTCGAGTGTAAACTAAACGAGCCAATGCACATTGGCATGCGATTATTGCATCCAGCTGCTGCTGATCACAGCGTGAGTATAAGTAGGCAGCAGGTGCAGCGCATATTCAGCTTTTCGCTGAGGAGCCGAGCCGGTGACCCGGCCGCTCAGCGGTGGTACAGGAGCTGTGGCGACGGGACGTGACGTCTCCGTTCCCTCCTTCAGGGAACGAGGGTTACATACGTAACAGAGACGTTCCCTTTCAGTCGGTCACTCTCGACGTCACGTCGGAGGACCGACGAAATTGGGATCTCGCTTAGAGGGACCAATCTACTTCGAGTGTAAACTAAACGAGCCAATGCACATTGGCATGCGATTATTGCATCCAGCTGCTGCTGATCACAGCGTGAGTATAAGTAGGCAGCAGGTGCAGCGCATATTCAGCTTTTCGCTGAGGAGCCGAGCCGGTGACCCGGCCGCTCAGCGGTGGTACAGGAGCTGTGGCGACGGGACGTGACGTCTCCGTTCCCTCCTTCAGGGAACGAGGGTTACATACGTAACCGAGACGTTTCAAAATGGTATATGAAACATCATATTAATAATGATTATGTATTTTTATTTATTATTGTTATTATTACTGTAAATTTTTCATTTGCATTTGAAACAGTATCTTAAAGGGGTGGTTCATTGCGATTTCACTTTTTTAACGTTAGTTAGTGTGTAATGTTGCTGTTTGAGCATACACAATATCTGCAAAGTTACGAAGCTGAAAGTTCAATGCAAATGGAGATATAGTCTTTTAAAATTCTGGCAGTTTAATGCCTACAAAAACGGCTGGTAGGGACTACAATAACTAATCAGAGCCCATCGCCTATTTCTGAGGGAGGTGCTTCATAAAAGAAGGAAATGATCAGCGCTTTTCTCAGAGAAGGGACAGAGCGGTGTGGAATAAAGGTCAATTATGTGAAAAATAATGCATTTTTTAAAAGACGAAGCATTAACACACGTTAGACTGCACCCCATAAACACAGTCAAGCCTAGAAAAATACCAGTGAACCACCCCTTTAAGCTACATACTCTCTATCATTCAGTAAGCTTTAGTTTTTAGTAGTTTCAGTGAGTTGTATTAGGGCTGCACAATTAATCAAAATTAAATCGCAAAGGCGATGAAATGCGATTAGGCAGAAGCTGCGATTGTCATGCGTATCTTTCAGTGAAGCACAGTTCTGTGATCAGTAGTAAATCTCCATCCGAAGGCCAGAGGGCACTCTTGAAAATCCAAATATGCCCGAAGAAGAAATCCAGGAAAAGCCAATCGCAGCTGAATAAATTGAATATTTAACTGCTTTCATTGGTTCAACATGACTAATAAACACGACTACGGCAATATATGGTTTATCTGAGTTCTTATTATTATAATTTTCATCATAATGAAGTGTATCTATAATGAAATGCTAATCGACATAGCCTTTATCACTGCTTAGAATACAATGAAATAGTGTGTGCCTTAATTATTCTGTGTAAGAAGACACATCATCTCACAGAAGGATTTATTTCAAACACTCGACTGACGTTATGAAGTGAGTTTGGAGTAAAAACATGTTATTAAATGTAGTATGTTCACGTGCTCTCAGATGGAGCAGCATCCACTACACAGAGCCCTAGTTCACTGAGAATATACGCAAACAGATATCATTATCGTGAACGATTTTGTAAATTTCATAATCCTATGATTATATCGTCTGCGATTATGAACGCCATTTTGCGTAGCTTGTCAGAGAACTACGGCTCTGTGTAGTAAATGCTGCTCCACCTGAAAGCAGGTAATGGAGATTTACTACTAATCACAGAACTGGCTTTACTGACAAAATGTGCATGACAATCGCGATTAATCGCGTTCGATTAATCATGCAGCCCTAAGTTGTATTTAATTTTCCGATGAGAAATAAATAATGCAATAATTAAAAACTAAATAGTATCCTATTTATTTTACTCTAATTTACTCTGTTTAATTTTTCCAGTCCAATCAAATAATGAATATAAATTATTTTTAAAAAATCATAGTTAATATTATGTCATTTATCACAGTTAAAATGGAAGATGGAGTCACATTGCATTTTGGGATATAGTACTCCTTTAAGTGTGCTTGTGTTATATAGTATGCAGTTTTGCAAATGTAGTATGCTATTTCTAGTAGACGTAGTAAAGTAGTATGGCATTCGAAACACGGCCTTAATTTGACTTCATATGCTGCACATCCTGTTTGCTAACTAGCGAGTGAAATGTGTGAGACTTACACTTTCAAAACAGCAAATGGCAGGCGTGCTGAGTTTTCTTCTCACCAGCACCAAAGTACCAACTGTAGTGCTCAGACTGATGATAGCAGCATCTGAAGAAGAG